CATTTTGTTCTGTTATTGTGTGTTTTTTTTAAATATTCTTTATTCCGGCCGAGCCTTGATATCACTCTAGGTACGCCGCTGACTAAATGATGTTTTGACAAATATTCTTCCTTTGGGTACATGCGGGTCTAGCGGGTCGGAGCGGGAATGGCACAAGACAAATAGTAGCGGAAAATTGAGGATGGGACAGAGGTGGGGATCGTTAAGGCACGGGACGGGATTAAGAGTAACCCCTCCCAACCCACTCTCATTACCATCACTAACTTTAAGGGTATACTTGACACATCGAGGTGAAACTATACTTTTATAAGTTTTTTTAGTAACTGTTAGTTTTTAGTGATTGAAAAGATATTACTCTGTAAAAGAAACAAGTGGTAGCTATTTGATAAAAAGAATTGACTGTCTGAACTAGTTTTGTTTTGTATACAAGCTGTCGTGACTCATTAATGCTAAAAACTACAGTCTTTTCACAAAAACTATTCAATGTAGCTTTTCAAATAAGATATTTCATTTTGAAAAAGTCTCTTAAAAATTGTAATGTCAAACATCCAATTAGAAACTTTTGATCCCCTTTTGGTAATACTAAAATCGGTTGAATCGACTAATTCGACTAAAATTTATGAAATTCTGACTGATGTGGCTGAATTGTGTGATTCTGCTGATTTATTAAAAAATTATATTTAAAATATAGTTTATTAATAGAACATAGTTTATAAAGAAAAAATTATTTGTAAAGATGGTTAAAATAGTCTTTTACAGTAACTTCAGCTAATACAGCCCGAAAAGCAACTTCAACCTCACTTTTTCTTATTATTACTACCTCTGTCCCACTATGTTTGGGACAAAGAGGTGTGGCACAAATTTTAAGAAAAGTGGAATTGTGTGGTAGATATTGAATTGATAAAGTATGAATAAAGTAAGAATGAATTGTGACCACCCAAATATTATCAAATATGATATGAGACAAACTTAATGGGACGGACGAAAAAGGTAAAACGGGACAAAGGAGGGACAGATGGAGTATACACAATTCAGCGCGCGAAATAAAAAAGGCTAAAGGGTCAAATAGGCCCCCGAATTAACTTAAAAAGTGCAATTCACCCCTTATATAGGAGGCTCTATCCGGATGTCGCCAATTGGGGCGGTTCCCGGTAGAATTTTTTGATGAATTTTTTTGACAATCTTCTTCATTAGGTATAGTTTACCCATACCAAATTTCAGATAAATATTCAACCGGGAAGACTGTCAAATGATTTTCTGAAATGTGCTGCGCTGTTTAACTGCCTTGTTATCTTAAAAAATTCATTTGACTACCTTCCCGATTGAATTTTTAGATGAAATTTGGTATGAGTAAACTAGACTTAACGAAGAAGATGCTCAAAATATTTCATCAAAAAATTCCACCGGGAACCGCCCCAATTGAGGAGGTCCGGACAGAGCCTCCTATATAAGGGGTGAATTGCATTTTTTAAGTTAGTTCGATGGTCTATTTGACCCTTTAGCCAATAAAAAATTACTTGTTTGATGAAAAAGTTAACTTGTAAGACTGATAAATTTAAAAATAGAGCTACTAGTCACACTTTTTATTTATTTGTGTATAGTGCAAAAGTTATAAGATAGAGTTTTGTGCCTATTTTATAATAATATATCTTCTTTGAAAAGCTATACCGAGGAGCATTTGAAAAAAATGTAACTATTAGTATTAATAATGAGTCACACTAAAACTAATTCAAACAGTTTTATTATCAAATCTAATTCATAATACATAGTATTTTATAAGTCACTACACACAAAATCGCAAATTATACCGTACAACCGGCCCTTTTACCCTTCTGCGCTTCTCACCCTAGCAACGAGCAACGATTTCTTCGATATTCGCCCTTGCTTCTTCGGTTCTCGCACAGGAAATCGCCCCTGTTTCTTCAATCTCGCCTGATTTCTTCGATCTAATCTCGCGCACAGACTGCTCCTTTCTCCTTAAGCTCTCCTCCGCAAGATACCGCTACTCTTGGGGATTTCTTCGTTGGCCGGTGCTGCGAGAAGAAGAATACGGGGACGACAAGTTGCTGACGAATTTAGGAGACTGACTTCATGCTTGCTGACGAATTTGGAATGAGTTTATATTAAACTGAAATGAGTATAAGCCTAAAAGGAATGAACATACTAAAAATGAGTATAAACTGAAAATGAATGAGCATATTAAAAAGGGAAAATGGAAACTAATAATCCAACCTTTTAACGGTCTTCTTTCAATAATCCCACCTTTTGATTATTCATGAATAATCCAACCTTTGTACCTCATCTTCATTCATTGGTCCGTGGTCGGTTAATGACCTACTATTCCAAGTTATTTTCTTATCTTTGCAAAATATTATCTTTGTGAAAGATGAGATTTATGATATAATGATTTGAAAAGATAAGAAAATAGCTTGGAATAGCAGGTCATCAACCGGTCAGGGACCAGTGAATGAAGATGAGGTGCAAAGGTTGGATTATTCATGAATAAACAAAAGGTTGGATTATTGTAAGAAGACCGCTAAAAGGTTGGATTATTAGTTTCCATTTTCCCTATTAAAAATGAGTTTTATGTCAAACTCAAATGAGTATAAAACCGAAAATGAATGAGCATACACAAATGAGCTTTTGAATTTTTTGATACTCATTTTGTAAGTTATATATGCTCATTTGGTACCTCATTATGCTCATTTTCAATTGTTGCACATTATGTTAAACTCAAATGAGTATACATATAAAAGAAGTGAACATACACAACTGAATATTAAGCACATGAAAAATGAGTTTTATATTAAACTCAGATGAGTATAACGCCCAAAATCATAGGCATACACAAATGAGCTTTTGAATTTTTTATACTCATCTTGTAAATTATGTATGCTCATTTGGTACTGCTTTATGCTCATTTTAAAATGATGCACATATTAAATATAACACCCAAAATCAATGAGCATACACAAATGAAGTTTTGATTTTTTTATACTCATTTTGTAAATTATGTATGCTCATTTGATATTGTTTTATGCTCATTTTAAAATGATGCACATATCAAACATATCATACTACATTAGATTCACATATTGAAATTAATTAGGCTAAAGGGTCAAATAGGTACATGAACTAACTTAAAGTGTTCAATTAGCCCCTTATATAGGAGGTTCTGCCCGGCTGTCGCCAATTGGGGCGGTTCCCGATGGAATTTTTTGATGAATTTTTTTGAGCATCTTCTTCATTAAGTCTAGTTTACCCATACCAAATTTCAGCTAAAAATTAAACCGGGAAGGTAGTCAAATGATTTTCCGAAATGTACTGCGCTGTTTAACTGCACAGTTATCTTCAAACAATCATTTGACTGCCTTCTCGGTTGAATTTTTAGCTGAAATTTGGTATGGGTAAACTAGACTTAATGAAGAAGATGCTCAAAAAATTTCATCAAACAATTCCACCGGGAACCGCCCCAATTGGCGACGGCCAAGCAGAACCTCCTATATAAGGGGCTAATTGAACACTTTAAGTTAGTTCATGTACCTATTTGACCCTTTAACGAAAAAATAAAAAAACAAACGAATTAGAAGACATCAAGCAGAGATCATAAGTGCTCATTGTTAGGCTTCTAAGGATGTTTTCTTTTGGAATGAAATTTGCTGGTCTGGTCTGGTCTGGGACTGAAAACAGTCCAAAAGAAAACATCCTAAATTACATCGATGCTCATTTAAGAGAAACCATGAACTTCATTAAAATTACAAAAATGACACCGGCTGAACGGTGCCAGCTGTACAGCCAGGGCCGAACCTATAGTAGAGGCAAGGAGGCAACCGCCTCAGGCCCATAATTTTGGGGAAAAAATAGGGCCCAAAAATTTATTAACTCCCTTTATATATACTCATAGCATAATAGGCCCAATTTGAATTTCCTTTGATTAGAAGCTCTCGACTGATCACCGACCTTTGCATCTGCGACTCTGCTCTCTCGTTTGCAACTTCCGAGTTCCCAGGTTTGAAATCCAAGCTTCCAACATCAATCTTTGAAGGCTAGAAGCATAGAAGTTCAGAACTCTATAGCATCCCAGGTATGTATAATTGTTATTTAATGTAATTGTTGTGTTTTTAAATGTCAATTTTGTGTTCTAAATTCTGAAATCGTCGTTGCTTATTGAAGACCAGAGTTTAGGGAAAGTGCTATTTATTTGTTTTGAGACCATACGATTTAACATTCATCATCAAGTCATCATCATCCAAACATTTATTTAACTCATACGTTTTTGTTTAATAATAATCAATTAATTTTTGCTTATGATTCTTCTAGTTATATTTATTAATACCCATAATTTTTTTGTTTATTTTTTATGGTGCTTAAGAGCCTTTTTATATCGTTCGACTCGGACCAAAAAAATCTTAGGATCAGCCCTGTGTACAACCGGCGGTATGGTATACGCTTCCACACAAAATGCAAGTATGGAGTAATAAAATGAAGGGAAAAGGTGCAAATAGGCCCATGTACTAACCAAAAAAGGTCAAATAAGCCCTTATTTAGGAAGTTCTGTTCGGCCCGTCGTCATTTCGGGTGGTTCCCGGTGGAATATTTTGATGAAATTGTTTGAGCATCTTATTCATCAAGTCTAGTTTCCTCATACCAAATTTCAGCAAAAACTTCAATCGGGAAGGCATTCAAATGAATTCTTGAAAATAACTGCGCAGTTAGAAGCGCAGTTATCTTCAAGAATTCATTTGAATGCCTTCCCGAGTGAAGTTTTAGCTGAAATTTGGTATGAGCAAACTAGACTTGATGAATAAGACGCTAAAAAATTTTCATTAAAAAATTCCACCGGGAACCACCCCAAATGACGACGACCGGACAAACCTTCCTAAATAAGGGCTTATTTGACCTTTTTTTTTGTTAGTACATGGGCCTATTTGCACATTTTCCCTAAAATGAAATGTTTTCTAGCATCATCATATCATCATCATCACCCTATGCAAACGTGCCAACATACGACCGCACCTGACGAAACTCTGTTCATTTACGTTTCTTTCCTCTGCCACTTTGCGCTCCAACCCACAGCGGAAGGAAAAAACGACAGAAAGAAACTTTGTGTACAGAACTTTATGGCCGATCGTATATACTTTGCCTCCGGCTGGGCAAAAAGAAGATGACACATCGCCGAAGTAAGTACCGCCACATAAAGCCTTAAATCACGGCGCAATCTAGCATCAACCCGTCAAAAAGTCTCCGTTTTTTCGCGCCACTCCGCTTTCTTCCTTGAAGCCAAACAAACCATTTCGCCGCAGGCGCATTTTAGCTGCTTCGTTTTTCATTCTCGATTGTCTTCCGTTTAAGGATTAGTAACGACTCTCTACCAGGTAATCCGCCGTGCTTGCTCTGTTTTCCCCTTTCTCTCTCACAGTACATCTCCTTGCACCCCATACGTTAGGACAGTTCTAAAGGCTCAATGCTTCCATAAGACTGACGATTTAATGAATTCAGCAACGCGTATATAAATCTTCTTCGCTGATTGTGTGTGAGTGATCGTTGAATCTGGAGAGTCGTGGTTTACACTGTACCAATCATTTCGCAAATCTCTCTTCCTCTGTTTGGGATTCATTTCTTCAGTTATAACTTATAAGTGGAAGCATCAGATCTCGAATTAAATTTATATGACGTTTTCAACTGAGGAATTAGATCTGGAAGTAATATTAATTTAATCGTCCCTTTCTGGAGGATTTCAAGAAGATAGTCTGCTTCTGTTGCTTGCATGGATGAGGGGATATGACTAGTATCAATGTAGTAAAGTCACTGTGATCGATTTATCATCCACTAATTTCTGCTGCTGACTCATTTGAATCGAATTCTTAATCTGCAGTGGTTGGGATAGTGAAAGCATTCTGTTGCAATGAGAGGGCGTGAAGGAGATATATACTCCACTTACAAACGTGCATTGAACAAGGAAAATCTTCTTCCCCAAGGGAGAGAAGAACTAGGTTCGTTTAGATTGCTTATAGTTTTTTAAGATCTCCATACTGGTAAATATAGTTGCAGCTCCAAATGTCAAGTTGTCAACATAATATATAATGTGCATCATATTTTGTTCTTGCTGTGAATGCATAGACCACTCACAGAATGAGGGTTATGAAGTAGAGCTCGGGAATCCCTCCTGGAAGCGCCCGTTGCGACATATACTGGTCGCTACTCTTTCGTCATTCTTATTTGGCTACCACCTCGGGTATAGTTTCAATCCTAAAATCTATGTACTTTTTGTGGCTGGTTAAATAAATATCTGTCTATGATAGGTAATTTTGATTTTGGAATTTGGTTTTTAGGGTTGTTAATGAGACTCTAGAAAGCATTTCTTTGGATCTTGGCTTTGCTGGTAGTACCATGGCTGAAGGTATCTATTTTATGAGATCAATCTTCCGTTTACTTCTCTTCATGATCTGTTTGTTCCCCTTAATCTTTTTCTTTTTTATACTTCTGTTTAAGGAGTAAGCATTTTTTAAATGCAGGTCTGGTGGTCAGTACGTGTTTAGCTGGTGCATTCGTTGGCTCTATATTTAGTGGCTGGATAGCTGATGGGGTTGGTCGGCGTAGAGCATTTCAATTGTCTGCTTTGCCAATGATCATTGGTGCTTCTATCAGGTAAGATCCACCCCATATTGTATTCTTACATGGTCTTGAGACCGGTAAATAAATCTTTTAGACAATGATTCTATGATTAGTTGTTGGAGTTATGTGAGGAGGTTCCACTGATCAGATGAATGTAAATGCAAAATAAAAATAACTAATGGGTCATTGCTACTATGGGGTGAACCGGGTCTTGGCCAAGTTCACTAACAACCTATTTTCGTGTGTAGTTTTTTTGTGTGTAAAATGTATATGAATGACGGGTGCTTGTGCCCAAGTGCAGTGCCTCAACAAGTACTCTTGGAAGTATGCTTATTGGAAGGGTGCTTGTCGGTACAGGGATGGGTCTTGGTCCACCTGTTGCCGCTCTCTATGTGGCAGAGGTACCACATTTATCTTATTACATGCTCCAACCAAGAAGTACTCCTGTGTCTAGCTCGTTTTACTATTGCATTACCATGCATAATACAATAAGCTAAATGCTTATATGTTTGAGCAGGTTTCACCTGCCTTTGTACGAGGTACTTATGGGAGCTTCACTCAGATTGCAACATGCATTGGTCTCATGTGTTCTCTCTTCATCGGCATCCCATCCAAGGATGTTGTTGGCTGGTAAGACACAGTGGATTTTGATCATGACCTTAGTGTTTGCATAATCTTGTGTAGGACCTATTACTAAAGGGTACAAAGCCTGCTTTTGGAGAAATATCACTACATTTGTCCTTTCTTATATAGGTGGCGAGTTTGCTTTTGGGTGTCTTCTATACCGGCAGTTCTACTTGCCATATTGATGGAGTTCTCTGTAGAAAGCCCCCATTGGCTTGTTAAGGTTAGAACGTTTCTGCCAACTTTACATTTTCTTATTTTTGTGTCACTTTTCACTTGGATTTTTTCATCACCAGCATGGTCACCTTAATCGCAACAAGTTGGGGTTAGTGGTATGAAATTTAGTGTTAACTAAAAATCTGTTAACACTATAGATTCATGCAAAAAAAGTGGCAAGTTGGTAACTGGAATTTTTTTCCACTTTATGCCCTTGCTGTTGCAAACTTGTGGAGAAATTAAGAAGGAACAATGAGATGACATTCTAAAACCATCACCATCATTGCTATTTATTTCCACTTTTTGCATGGAAACTATCATGACTCATGAGACAGTGATGAATTGCGATATTTGCAATTGGCATGTTCATTTCATGATTGGTGTTATCATTTCGATCTGGAAATCATGAAACTTTTAAAATACGCCACCTGTTTATTCCTGTTATGTGGTTGGATGAGAAAGTAAATCCACTTTATATTCAATCAGAGCACCTATTAAGCATTTAAACCTAATAAGTTTCTTATGGGCATGCAGTTACACATATTAGCAATATTACTATGTGTATAAAGTTTCAAGCTCTAAACATTGCGCTCTCAAACTTTTCAAAATACAAATGTTCTATTTTTCGTGGACTTGGCACAGAGAGGAAGAATTGGAGCAGCTGAAGAAGAACTTGGGAGACTGATGGGAGGGTCACATGTTAGTTCCGCGATGGCAGAATTTTCCAAGTCAGACAAAGTAGATGAGGGTGATAACGTTAAGATGTCAGATTTATTTTATGGCCACTATTTTAGAGGTACAAATTCATGGCTGAAAGTGCAGTATAATGTCTCATTTTCTTCTTTCTCTTTGTAAAGATAATCACTCAATGATCCTTTATTTGCTATGGCAGTGGTTTTCATCGGGTCTTCCTTATTTGCTTTGCAACAACTGTCTGGTATAAACGCTGTCTTCTATTTCTCTTCAACCGTATTTAAAAGTGCTGGAGTACCTTCAGATATCGCAAACATCTGTGTAGGGGTTGTAAATTTGACAGGTACGCTGGGTTGCATATCTCTTTCTTTTGAACACCAAGTTTTTGCTGACTGCTTTACTCTTTGAAGTGTGATGCTTGTGTGGACTGTAGATGTTATTACTTTGAAAAATGCTATATGAAAGCCATCATGGAATCATGGTTCACCCCATCATCTGCATGGCCGTAGTGTCCACTGTCCATGCAGCAATGCTCTATTAATTAATGTATTTGGTGCTAATGACTGCAGGGTCCATTATTGCCATGAGTTTAATGGATAAACTAGGAAGGAAGGTGCTTCTTCTGTGGAGTTTCTGGGGAATGGTAGCTTAAACATTCTTTTATGGAGTAATTTATATTGGCCAACCAATAAATATGCAGCACTGAGAGAGGTCAGTTGCCATTTTACATGCTTGTTGATTTTTTCTTTCACTTCTTTGTTCAGGCGGTTGCAATGTTTTCTCAAGTAATGGCAGCATTTTCATTCACACCGGACTCAGCAAAAGTATATATGTCTGTTGGTGGCATCCTAATGTGAGTAAAATCTGCTTGAAAGCAGATGAAATTGTAGTATTTGTTATTGTTTGATGTTGGCATGAATTCAATTACAAATTTTGAGTTGATTATGCAGGTTTGTTCTGGCATTCGCTTTTGGGGCTGGGCCGGTGCCTAGTCTGCTCCTATCAGAGATATTCCCAAGTCGAATTAGGGCGAAAGCAATGGCTATCTGCATGGCTGTACATTGGGTAATTCTTTCTCCACCTAGCCTCCCCCCATTGTAATGATCAATTGCTCTCCCTCGTTGACTGCAGCCCCGTTTGGGACAATTCTCTGTTTTCAGCTTTTGTTTTACGATTTAATAAGTAACATGATATAATAAGACGGAACTACTCATACTTATTAGTAACCATGTTTATTTTGAATACTGCCAACAGGACACTGAAGTTTCCTAGATTTGGCTTTTGTTTAAAAGAAGCTGAAATTTGAAACACACTAATAGCTGATTCGGTTTAATGACAGGTCATAAACTTTTTTGTGGGTCTTTTGTTCTTGCGTTTACTCGAACAACTCGGTCCACAAGTTCTGTATACAACGTTTGGCGCATTTTGCTTGATAGCAGTGGCCTTTGTGAGGAGAAATGTGGTTGAAACGAAGGGCAAAACACTTCAGGAAATTGAGTTTGCCTTCATTCTGCCTCATTAGCTGTTGTTAATTGATCCTACCAGTCTACCACTCGTTTTTGCTGCAGCTTTTCAGGTAGTTTCATTCTAGTCTACATTTCCTTCACTAAAAACTGACTGCAATATGAAGGTTGTGTATTTATAGAGTTAGTCGGATCTGCCTAATATTTAAGGTTTTGTACAAGTACGCAAATAGCATAGAGAGCCACACACAGTATTTTAGTCCCCATAAATAATATAGTTTGGCTTGGATGCCTTTGGCTTCATCATATTTTGCACAAATCTTTCATTTTAGGAGAGGTATTGTTACTCTATTTCGTCTGAACATTTTTGCATCGTCATTTTTTAAGAGTAAAAATTCTACCCCCTTTTGTCTTTTATGATAACTTGGTCTTTTCAGTGAAAAGAACTGTACTGTTATCAGAGTGACCAACATCTCAACTGCAACTCAAACCCCCATACCCTGTTACACTTGCCCCAGTATCCCTGACAGACTGACTTCTCACAGTACTATCTTATGTAGCAGACACAAGACAATATTGGCCATGAAGGTTGTAGTACAACTCGCCAAACGTTATTGTTGCTTTTTGTAGAGGGGAGCATATATGCTATGATTATAATGGGCTGAAGTGCAGTGCAACATAATTTTTCTTGATTTTTTTAGCGTAAACATTTATGTTTTCCTATTTAGCTCACTCCATTATTGCTGAAAGTATCCAGCAAAGTGCAATCACTCTTCAGCCCACCTTAACTAATAATTTTGGATCCTTCCCTGTTTTTGTTAGTATTATCATGAGGTTAATGAAATTAAACAGACGAACCAACGGTAGAAATAATAAAAACAAATATAGATGCTATACACACATATATACATCTAAAAACATTATATTTCTAAAAGAGCGTTAGTACCCTCTGATTGTGCCAATATAGTCTAACAAGAAATTGTACATTCTTCTTAAAAATTAGGACTTCACTTTTCATCTGACTTTTATACTTTTAAATACCGTCAAAACTTTTATACCCTTCTGTTAAGTAGATTAATTTACTAAACGAAGCTAGCACTTCAAGGGATTGAAGGCCAGTCGGAAATGACTCTCCTACTGTAGACTCTAGAAGACCGCAGTATCCTGTACAGTAACCCTTTGAATAGCCACCCTACTTTGAAACATATCTATGGAAACTTTATGAAGAATAAGTGTGTTGATTCTTATTACCTCAACTTTTCTGCTCAGTTGTGCAGTTGTGCTCATCCAAAATGCTAAGCATCTTTCTCGATTCTTTTTTAGTTTCCCTTACCGCGAATAGGGATTACAGCTAGGTATTACTCTCATTCTATTTGTTTTTTCATGTAATTCACACCTTTAACAAGAGTAGGATTGTATTAGCAGGAAGCGAGTGTATTTTGGACTTAATCTTTTTATTCTTATGGGATGTTATGGACTAAAATGTTTATGGAAAACTTGACAAGCAGATGTATTTGTAATTCTTTTCAATCGAATCGGAGGCCACACTATTGACCGCTTTCTTCTTCTTTAGACGATACCTGTAGTTCTCCATGAGATATTGCTTTACCTCTTTAACAGTTTTCTTTGTTAATGCAGCTTGATAGAAAAATATATTTCTGGCTGATTAGAAGTTATCTTTGTTCACTTTTAAAGAAAAATATATTATGAGAACAATGTTGCTTTAACTCTGGAATTAAGTCATTAACCATGAGGATGCTTTGCTTAAGATTTGAGTTGTGTTTCTAGCTAAGTTCGCATCTCGGAATGATGATGCTGTTTAACTTCCACCATTTCATATTGTCGCTCTAACTTCTTTCAATCGCCAGTTGAATTCTAAGCATGTAAAAACACAAGCCCTAATAAAATAGATCATGTTTATGGTCGCTCTGATGTGAATGATATCACCATACCTAAAAGGTGAATGCCAACTGACTCTTATTCTGGTCCTAATAATAAAAGAACCTTCACTCGAATCAATATTATCGGGACTACATCCACTTCAATTTCAGATCAGGTTGTGGATAGGTATGAGCCAGGTCCGACGGCTCAGCCCGGTCTGGAATTGGGTCCGACACTGTTTGGGCCTGGACCGTGTCCATTTTTCTGGTTTCGGGAAGAGGACTGGCCTTGTCTGTCGAAGAGTACCCAATTCACAGATTTGGGACCAATATGGGGGAATATGGGCGGTTCAGGTCTTGATCGGCGATATTTTTTTGTTTCAGCCTTGGTACCGAACAAAATTTAAAAAAAATAAATTAAAATAAAACGGGACTGGACTCACTAGGTACTTGGAACTAGCTTATACTTGGGCTTCATTCAAAAAAGGCAAGGACTAGGCCGTCTCGGCCTAAAACCGGGACTGGATTGACCCGGGTCCATTCCTAGTTGTGGACGGGAAAATTAAGTTCAAAGAAGACAATCTAGACCCTCAGTCTAGATTATACAAGTGTGTTATAGTGCACTCAGTTTAAACTCATAATAAATTAATAAATATATTATGGATATATAGGTATTAGTGCAAGAAAAATTATATACACATTTAGTGAAAGTAGTATGCACTTGATATAAATAGATGTCCTAAACTAATAGTGTGCCATGGCCCATGGGTATACCGTATACATATTTAGTAGAAGAAAAGTTTGTATGTGCAACTAGTTAAAGTGATATGCACATACACATTTTCACACTTTTAAGGTGAAATGGTGAATACTATAAAAAATTACATGCTCATATTATAATCTGAATTAAGCGTAAGTGGACCTTTATACTTGATGCACTACAACCTAAACATTTGTGTTTTTATATAACATTCCAATATACTTCAAATCTCAATTTTAATTATGTACACTTCTAGATCTATCGTGCATCATCTACATATTCTACACAATTTTATTGACGATAAAAAAATATTCTTAATATCCAAATATCGCAAATTGAAGGAAAAACTTGACGCACTAGTTAAGGTATTGATGTGTGACGACCAAGAGGTCACAAGTTCAAGTCTTTAGAATAACCTCTTGTCAAATTTTGACATGTAAAAATTTTCTCCCTATACATACTTTAACTTGGACCCTTCCCCAGACCCTAGCCATGCAAGGATGCCTTCGTGTACCAGGTTGCGCTTTATCCAAAACTACACACTAGAATGCTAAAAGTGTGAAATTAGTTGCATGTACAAATTTAGATAAAAACACCTGCATAATTGTTGATGGATAATGTTGTGTAATGCCAACTATGCTTTTAGTATATGCAAATGTGCACTTTTGTGATTTGATTTTTCTTAGTAATATGAAGCACATATTTTTGCATTTTCAAGGTGCATAAATATGTGTCATTTTAATCATCTCTTTCATTTTGTGTTTTTACACTACTCACATATTCTATTTTGATAGTATTTTAAATGTTTATGTATAAAAAAGCTTTATTATACAAAACACTTTTAAATGTTTCTCAAGTAAAACTTCTAAATTGGATTTTTTAGAAGGTCAAATTCACTAACAGTTATTTAAATATATTAATGGTCAAATTCAAGTATCAAAATTGAATATAAACAAAGGTAATATAAAGTATACACCTACATCTTAAATGAAATATAATAAAATCAAAGTATGAATGTTAAATAAAAAAGTATCATATCCTTAAAAAAATATGGTTAACATTTAATGGCGCGTTGAAATCATGCACAAACTATTTCTTTTTGAATATGAAACACTTTCTTTCCGATTCATTTGTGGCATTATACCCAAATTTAACTTTTGCCAAAAAGTTACTAGCAATGAAAAGGTACCAAATAACTTAAAAAATTAGCACGGGTATGACACAGATCTTTGGCACGGATCTGACACGAATATGCCAAATTTGTGTCAAAGCCGTTATGTTACCAACTATTCGACACTGAGCCATAATAAAAATATGTTATGATCCGTGTCTAACTCGATCTTTTCGTGTTAATATCGTTTTTTATAGTGAGAAAAGAATATTAATAATGCAAATTGTGGCAAAACTTTAATTGATGACTTCATATAAAAACACATGGAATGGAAATCACAAATTAGCCCTCCACATCGGAGAAAGAAAATTGAAAAAATAGCTTAATCTAACAAATTAGCCCTCCACATCGGAGAAAGAAAATTGAAAAAAATAGCTCAATCTAACGGTGTAAGATCATTTTGATTTCTCTACTCATAGTATTTTCATTTGAACCAAAACACTCACACACTTTTTGTCATGCAAAGAAGTTTTCACTTTGATTTAGACACATATTGGTTTCACATACTAAATTGTCTAATATTTCAAAGAAGTAAAATTGAAGTTACTTGTCTCGCGAAATTAAATATATACCTGCTACTCATAGAACTTTCTCACATTGATTTTTCTTTGTTAACAATCATAATTAGGAAAATAATCTTAGTTATTATATTTATGTAAAATTTATAAATTTTATATAGCCCGTTTGGTGACCTGTTTTTCGGCTTATCGGGCTTATCAACCATTTTTTCACCAAAAACGTAACTTTTGATTTCGCGTTCTCAGGTTTGTAATAATAAGAAAAAGTAAGGTTGAAGTTACTTTTTTTGCTGTATTGGGTGAAATTACTTTAGAAGATCATTTTATCTATTTTTTCATATAGTTTTTTCTTTATTCTATTAATAAAAAATATTTTAAATATAATTTTTTTAATAAATCAACAGAATCAGTCAATCCAGTCACTTTAGCCAGAACTTCATAAGTTTCAGCATAATTAGCCGATTCAGCCAATTTCAGCGCTACCAAACGGGCTCTACTTTATGAAATTATTTTTATAAAGATAATTTCCATACGCTTTTCGCAATTCAAATAATTTTGTATTAAAATACTACGTATATGAGTACCACTGATCAAACTTGACCATCATCATTCATCAAGAAATGTTAATATGACAAAGTTTTGTGGGATGAGAGGTTATGATTTTTATAATTCAACAGATTTAACATATAAGATGTTTAGCCATAATTTCACCAATTTCTCATTCGGTGTCTGTTTGCAAAAGTTTAAAAAAGCGCTTCTCGGGTTTTGGCTTTAAAAAGTTACAATTAGTGTTTTCAAGTGACAACTTCTACTTAAAAAAGCGATTATCAAATTTTGGCTGAAAATTGCTTTTTATTTTTTCTATTACACAAAAACACATATTTTACCAAACACTACAAACTTTTACTTTTTAAAATCACTTTTTTCTCAAACACTATCAACTTTTACTATTCATCACTTTTTCCAAAATCAATTCAAAAACTGTTTTTAAAGCAAAAGCAATTGCAAACACTCCCTAAGAAGATTGAACCAATTAAGCACCTTCATCCAAAATTTTACTAATTTCAACGGTGATAGCTTCCTTGCACCGAGGTGCTTAGAGAGAAGGGAGAGCTAAAGATATATATATATATATATATATATATATAGAGAGAGAGAGAGAGAGAGAGAGAGAGAGAGAGAACTTGCAATAAATGAGTCTAGCACCCCTACAGGCTACAACTACCTCCAAAGAGGGTTTTTATAGAGGAAAGGTGGGTTGGGCTCGCAGGTCTTGGGCCTGCGAGACCCGATTACATTAATGGGCCACTAACGAGCCTTTTACATATACAACGATCCACTATGAGAATTCCCTGAAGATGTTGGTCCCGAGGTATATCGACATCGGGTCTTGTACTCTTGTTGGACGTGCCGAGGCGCTCACCCTTCGAGGTGCGTTCCCTCGACTTGGGCCGTCCGAGTGGTCAAGAGTATATGGGCTATGGGCGAGGGGCCATATACTCTATCAAACGGATACACCCAATTTGAGTATTATCAAACTTTCTATAAATATGCACTTACTTTCATAGATTATACCGTGGGATCGGCATGCCGTGCGCACGGTATGCCTATCCCAATACGGTGCCGTTTTGCAATTAAAAATAGAGGAAAGAAGGTGTGCCCATCCAGTTTCCCATCGCAAGCTGCGTTGCACACCAAAGAGAGCAGAGAAGGTGAACATCTCCGACGAATTCCGATCAATCAATTGACGGCCAAATCTGCCATCTCCCATCTACCATAGGTGAACATCGTCGGTGAAGAAGTGACGGCAACGCAACTCCTCTTCCTTGAGGCGGCGACGCTCTGCCCTAATGTCGGATTTGAATATTTGCTGCTGCAGTGCTCACCACCGGAAGATGTGAGACATGCTAGTCAACATGTCGTTAACCTCTTCTCCCTTCATGTCCAGCACGGTGAAGCCAAGCTCTGCCATATTGGGATTGGGATTGGGTTTCTAGAGGGGTAGCCATCCATGTAAATTCTTTGTATTTACATCTTTTATATCCTAGAAAAGTTACATTTCTAAAAAAAATGATTTACATTTGTTAGCGTGAGTTACATGTCAACTTTCTTCAGCAAGTTACTTCCTGTTTACATGGATTTACATTTTTCATAATTCGAGTTACACCGCAATATAATGCGAGTTACACAAGTCAATAAGCCTCTGCAACTCAAAGAAAGATTAATTTTATAAAAAATCATTTTTATAGCCTTGATATATTAAAAACAAAACATATGCACTATTTTGTGAAATAATTGGGCAATTAGACTCCTTTTTTCATAATTTACATTGAAATCAATGTTTTATTTCTTATACTATGCATTAGACAAGTTACATTTCGACTGAACTTGACTTACATTGATAAATAACGTGAGTTACATTTCTTTACACGTGAGTTACATCACTCTGCTACTGGGACAAAGAAAAACAAAACAAAAATTATTGTGCACGCGTGTACTGATCGTGCGCGAAAATCTTTATTAAAAATTGCAAAATTGTGTCGTTTTGATTGC